TCAGGTGTCCGAAAAAGGTTAACTATTTCATTAATGGATGCCTCTATACTGAGGCATCCATTAATGAATGGTAACCGCTGATTCTCAGGGTTACCAGCCCTCTAATGCAAATAACTTGTCACGTACAGTGTACGTGACAAGTCATTTGGCCCCTTTGTGGCGGGACGTACAGTGTACGTCTCCCGTCACGAAAGGGTAAAAGGGTTTTTCAGCGCTGTAAAAACATAAAAGCGGCTTGTATGAGCTCAGCTCTGTCTCCTCCACTTTATACACTAGCGTCAGCGTGTAGCTCCTCCTCCCTAGTGTATGGAGTGGAGGAGACAGAGCTGAGCTCATATTTTGACAGAGCTGAGCTCATTATTGCCAAAATTCATGGAACACCTGAAGCCAATGATTTGGAGGGGTGTCCCAATACTTTTGGCAATATAGTGTGTAATATATATATATATATTTTAGTGCTGATATAAACAACAAAAGGGGCAACCGACCTGCATAGCTGAAATTTGGTTGCTACCTTCTTCACTTATGCTTTGTACTAGTTTTTATTGGATTAGTTTTATTAGCCCTGTTATATTTTGTGTGAAGTATTTACTTGTGTCAGTTTTTGGCTAAAAGGGAAAGTCTAAGGTGTGGCTTTAACTTAATAGCATTTCAAAGTAATGAATGACCTCCAGTGGAAGACATACATTGTTAACTATTGAGCTCATGAAGAAAATGTGTAGCACATTCTGTACATAAAACGTGTGGACCTTTTTTCACATACCAACACCTTAAAGCACAGAGTTAACTGTTACATTATGAAATATAGAGTGCAGGTATCTTAAAGCAGACCTATTATTTACTAGTAACCCCATTCTGTATTGAAATATGATAATCTGTTTTCATCCCTTCCTGACAGCATGTCACATGACCTAGAAGAGGTAACATGTTCACTGCCGGTACACAGGCCTGAATACAATTTTTTGTATTTTATTCGGGGTGAAAAAAAAAGGAGGAAACAATGTAAAATCTTTCCCAGGAGTTTTTCTTAACACTTTTATGCATTATAAATGCTTAGATATGCAAATATTCACCTCAAAATGCTGTATATTAGTCTATAGAGTCAGTCCACAAACGTATAATATATGTGGTATTTTTATTAAAATTTGCAGTTACTAAAGGAATCAGCTGAATTTACAGCAACATATATTACTGTGGGTCTTTAATATTGTCTTCAATATTTTGACTGCAAAAGTTAGCTGACAAAGTTTATAGCACAGGTTACCACTCTGATATGGGACCTCCCCTTATATTACGGACAATGCTCAGGTCCAGCAACCAATCGTTAGACCCGAGCAGCAGGGCTGTATTAAGCACACAGGGCCCTAGGTAGGACTGCAATTTGGGTCCCCCTAAGGCCGGATTTACACTAATGCAATTCATGGGTTTTGTGTTAAGAAAGCCCATTCATTTTGAATATACTGCCAACACACCCCGCGACAGGCAAAACCGCACCTAAACCTTTTTTTTGG